CTGTCCTTAACCTGTGCGTAGAGCTTTCAGTGATGGACATATGTAGATGTCATGGCAGAGCCTTGTCAGGGTTCGTTTTTTGGAGCACAAGCTTGTTTTTCCCCTACTAAGGCATTTTCACTCCACACCTCATTTCCTTTAGCTCACATTCTGTCCTGTTCTACTCCGCAACCAAACACTGTCAGCTTTGAAACAGTATCTCTCTTTGTCTTTATTTTTCAGTTCATTGTAGCTCAATTTCAGTACAGCTATATTGCATCTAAAAGTTAAAACACCCCATTTCCTAAATATGTCTGAAAACTCTTGTTTGTTTGAAACATTCTATTTCTTTGCTTTGTTACAACCTGCGCTGAATTTGCAGATGACCTGAATTTGTGTCTAGTTTCACTGCTGCCTGAGGTTCTATTGTGGTAGGTTGCTGCTTGCATTCAGAAAGAAAACACTTTTTCCTTGCACAAATTTGCAAAGTCACGGAAAGTCATTTGCCAAAATGGTAAAAATGGGACCGCGTGTAAGATTTTTAAGAGATCAGTTCTGCTCTGAGAGAGCAGTTGTTTTTTGTGTGACATGCAGCAGTGTCAGGAAGTGGGCTCGTTTGGAGCACGAGGTTGGTCTTCTTGCAGGTCTGAGTTGTCCTTGTGGCTGTTAACATGTCGAACTGAGGTTGTCATTAGATCCTGTGCTATCTGCTCCCTTTGTCCTATGGTGTGCACCCGAAGCTTTGATCTACAGTGCAGAGAGTGCTTGAGTGAGGAGTGTGTCCATTGTCAGATGACAGAGACGGAGATGACTTCTTGATTTGAGATTGTACACAATGGTTCCAGATACCACAGCGTTAGCACTCCTTGTGCTGACCAACATTGAGATGTTTTGGTCAATGAAAGAATTGTCAGCAAGACAGAGCATAATTAAAACAGCATTCTCCAGAATCTGGCGAGGTTTCTGGTAAACACTTGAACTAGACCTGTCTTGAACCACAGGCCTTATGTGGCTGCTAAAGGGATTTTGAAGCACTGAAAATCAGAGGAAAAGAGAGCTAAGTTTTGTGTGCTCATGTGGGAATGCCTGATACCTTTCAACCTGCTCTTTCTTTGCCTCTGTTGTTGCAGGTCTGTGGAATGGATGCAGGAAGCAGGGTTACTACTTGGTAGCAGTGCTTTGTGGTTGCCTGGCCGTAGTTGGATGTGGGGCTCCTACAGGCAGGCAGTGCTTGCAGTTGTAGCTCAGGTTCTGTTCACCAGGACATTGCGCCTGTAGCCAATCAAGACGGGTGGGCTAACAAGTGAGAGGGACCTCCTGTTGTCTACAGTGGTTTTTTTACTTCACAGTTTCCAGGAGGAATGATTACTACAGAAAAATTGCACAGCACTTTAGGGCAGTGCCTGTGGAGAGTAGAAATCAAGCTGATCACTACATGAACTGTAAGCTTTCTGATGTTTTGCGGAAAAACAGGGCATTTTTAGAAATGTGATAATAGGTACGAATTTTCTGAGATGCTGATGTAGGGACATTCAGTGTAGGCACTCCAGGAAACAAAAGAAAAAACAGTCACCTCTAAAAGCTAAAGAATATTTTGATAATCTAATAGTATGCTTCTTACACTGCTGTGAGCTTGTGCTGCTTCATAAGCTTTAGCTGTTCAGAGTTTCCTCAAAGTTGTGCATGTGCATTTGGGTGATTTGGGGTCTGAAGCTAAAGCACACATCACATGAGAGCTGAGAAATCGAGCTTCGTTGTTAATACGTATCTTTAGGCACAAGTTACTGTGTCTTTCCAATTAAGTAATTAACTAGTTAATTGCAGTTTTGTGGCATACTTTCATCTGGTACATTTTCAAGTAGAATGTGGTTATAGAACCAGCATATAATGTTAGGAGTTGTGTTTGTTTAAATGTTCACCCAGTTTAAATGGGTAAGATGCCAGTTATTTGCAACGTTTTGCAAAGGTGGATTTAATTTTGGCAGGATATTGACACCACTGTCATTGACACTTGGAGCAGGAGAAGTGTTGTGGGTCTTTTTTATTATTATTATTTAATTTTCTTTTTTTGTAGGTTAATTATGAAAAGCCTTCTACAGCCTGGGGTTGCTTGCCTCTGTTGGGTCACTTCCAAGTCACTGGTGTCCATGATGCCAGGAGGTGCGCTTTGCCCCACTGACTTCACAGATAGATTGATATCTGCTTTAGAGGGAAAAGGACAAAGGTTTGAGCAAAAGGTAGGATTTTATCCTGCTGGTGGTTTTTATAGGCAGTAATCTCTGACTTGTGAAGGGCTTGGAGAATACAACCTACGAGGAGCAACTGAAGGAACTTAGGCTGTGTAGTCTGGGGAAGAGCAGGCTGATTATTGTTCTCTTCAGTATCTGAAAGGTGCTTACAGCAAGAGCGGGGTTGGTCTCTTCTCACTGCTGACAGCTGACTGGATGAGGGGAAATGGCCTTAAGTTGTGCCAGGATGACTTTATGTTGGATATCAGGAAAAAACATCTTTACAGTTGTTAAGCACTGGAATAGGCTGCCCAGGGAGGTGGTTGAGTCACCAACCCTGGATGTGTCTAAAAACCTTTTGGATGTGGTGCTCAGGGACGTGACTGAGCGGAGGGTTGTTAGAGTTAGGGTACTATGGCTAGGTTGCGGTTGGACTTGATGAACTTTAAGGTCTTTTCCAGCCTGAGCAATTCTATGATTCTGTGATTCTATCTAAGTTTTGATTTGCAGAATTATTGTACAGGATGAACAATTACTAGGCAAATCCAAAACCTCAACTAAATGTCTAGAAAATACAGAAAGGCAAGTACAAGGCTACACTACAGTTTTACATTCATGTACGTATGGTTGATAACTTGCAGGTGTTGGAGGGCTCTTCTTGATTTTCAGCACAAATTGAGAAGGTGTATTTATACACCCAGTTCAAAGAATGGCAGTGATACCTGTCTGATTGTTGTGGTTTAGCCCTGGCAGCAGCTCAGCACCAAGCAGCCACTTGCTCACTCTCTTCAGGTGGTACAGAGAAGAGAATCTGAAAATTTGAGGACTTCTGAGTTGAGATAAGGGCACCTTACTAGGAAAAGCAAAGGCTGTGTATGCAAGCAAAGCGAAACAAGGAAATAGCTTGCTGCGTCCCGTTGGCAGGCAGCACTTCCAGAAAAGCAGGGCTCCTCACACAGGGTTACTTGGGAAAACAAATACCATCGCTCTGAACGTCCCTCCTTCCTCTTTCTGTATCCTTAGCTGTTGCTGAGCATAGCATCAAGTCAGCAGTCCTGGCTGTGTCCCCTCCCAGCTGCTTGTGCACCCCCAGCCCTTTGCTGGCAGCACAGGAGGAGGAGCTGAAAGTCCCTGGCTCTGTGAGCACTGCCCTGCAACAACTAAAACATCCCTCTCTTTCCACCACTGTTTTCATCAAAAATCCAAAATGCAGCATCAAGTGAGCCTCTATGGCAAAAATTAACTCTCTCCCAGCTAAAGCCATGAAACTGATCATTGTGCATAAAAAGTGGAATATTCTCATTTGACTGGATGAAATAGAAGCTTTCGGACAAAACAGGAAGAGCAATGCATTGAGCATATGTATTCACATTAGGGAGAGTATATGTAAACACAGTGTAAATATATATTGAGTATGGATACAGCTTACCCTTTGCATTAAGTTTTGATGTTACTGGATTAACTGTAAGTTTTACTAAAGATGTTTGAGCGTAAAAATTTTTGTATGACTTAAATTTGTTGCATTTCAAATAATTACCAAGAAAATCTTGGGTATGAAGAAATAGAAGGAATTCTAGAAAGAGCTTTGTTTTTTATTTGGTTGCTGGTTGATGTTTGACTTTGTACTTTTTCCACCTGTTAAATGCGTGCTGTTGCTAACCTAGAGTCCTCATAAGAAAATAGTTTGAAATACTCCCAATATGGAGTAACAGCTAATTACTAACTAGTTTATTGTTTATTGAAACATCTGTACAGAATGCTGGTAACAGGACATAATTTGAGTTACTCTCAGATTAAAAAATATATATATACAAACAAACAGCCTTACACATTACTTGGCTTCTTCTCTAGTCCCCAAATCTGTTTCTGTCTCTGTATCTCAGTGACTCATTCTTTAAGTCTCAAGGCCCATGAGACTATCTGCCTGTTTACATTTCATTGAGCAAATAGGTGCAACATCCCTTTTCCTGGGAAGAGACTGATGATTGTCTCTCCTCCCTTTTATATTCTCTCGTTCCAAAGATTGTGATTCCAAGAACTTTGAAGGTGGTCAGTATTTTCAGAGACAGTGCTCCTTTCTTGGCCATTTGGACTTCAATATTGAAGAACACCTCAAGGCTGCCACATGATACAGAGGAGATGCCAGTCCCCCGTGGAGCAGTGCAGTGCACTGAGTACCACCTGGCAATCCCAGCTGATAAACTAACTGCTGACTTTCTCCCTGCACTCCAGGAGAGAACCACGACCTCACAGTTTGTTGTCTCGTATCTCAAAGATGCCTTCTTAAGAGGTGATTGGCAGTGACATTTCTTTGAGACAGTAGTTGGTGTCAACATTACTGCGCTCTTAATTTGTAGATATAAATGTATGTTAATATTCAAAATAATTCTTCCATTGAAGAGGAAATGCTAACAATCTTGGCTTACCTAATTCTTCATGCTTCCTTTTGTTTTGCTGCGGTAGCCTTGAATAGTCAATATGAAAAGCAGTCTAAGAATCATGGATTTGCTGCAAGAGTAGCTTCATAAATTTGTTAGTGTTAGCCATAGCAGTGGGTGCACACATTATACGATATCAGGGGAGAATCCTAATTAAAATCTTGTGTCTAAACAAGCCACAAAAACCTTACAAACAGTATGAGGCTCCAGGCCAACTACGGCTATGTTAATAATAAATCAGGTCTGATTTGTGAGGTTGTTTTATTTTTTATTTTTCCTGTGGAAAAGCATACACAAGGGGAATTTTTTTTTTTACTGTCGTTTTTGTAATTCTAATCTTTTTGTTTTTCTGTAGCATTTACTAAGTGCTGCAAAGAAACTGGTTTCCTTATGGTGGTAAAGTGTCGGAAAGAGAACACGGCACTGAAAGATTGCCTCGTTGGCTAGTAAGTCCTTCCTGAGCCTTTGTTTCACTCCCTGTTTTTGGCTGTACTAATGTAGAATCAAATAGAAAATTTGGCATTTCTAAGAAGGGTTTTGCTAACCTTGTGACTTTGATGGTTTTTGTTCTGGAAATCATGTCTTTGCTTTAGAAGAAAGGATGGTGGTCAGGGCTCTACCTGACAAGACTTGCTTAATTTCATTAAGAAAGCTGTCCTATGGCTAAAAATGCTTTCTTGCATTTAAATATTGCTAATGGATCCAGAATTTCAGCCCGAGTGAAATGCAGCCCTGTACTCAGTGTGCTGAACTGAGGATGTGGGTGAACAGTAGAAGCAAATTCTGTTATAGAAACAGGATAAGTTCATTCTGGTTTTGCTTCTTGAACTGTCTTTAAATGCTTATGGACATTTTATGGATTTAAATTTCTCTTTTTGAAGTCTAATATACCCACAGTGTCACTAGGTTGAAGTTAGTCTTGGATTTCTTAGTGTGGAGTTGGTGTTCTCTGAGCTTGATGTGGGTGGGTTGGGTTGTGATAGAGTGCACGTCATACATACCCTGCTAAATCAGAGCTTAATGTTAATAGCCTTTAATGTAGTGATAGGTGGAGTTTGAAGTTTAAGAATTAACTTAAAAAGATGCAGCTACACAAGAGTTCAAGCCTAACTGCAGTTCTATTCGACTGTAACTCCATACCTTAAATTCTACCTTTTTTTAGACAAAGAAACAAACAAAAACAGACTGCACAAAAAATATGTGCTATGGAAAAATATTTAGTGTTTGAATCATTATTCTTAAAATTACAAGTAAGGTGACAAAATTAATGATCAAGATACTATGAGTACTGCTCTGAAAGTAATGCCTCCTAAGTTATGATGGCCCACAAGGTCAGATGCAGATGGTGGCAGTATGGCAGAGGCTGAACCTTCCCACCACTATTCCATTATGTGTTATTGCCATGTGACAGATGGCAGCAGAGGGGCAGTCTGACAGAATGGCATCTGACATGGAAGGGTGTATGATGCAAAGGGGTGGAAGTGAATTCCTCCATGCAGAAAAAAATGGCAAACATTGAATTCATAGTTATGGAGACTAAACAGTGCACGTGAGCACAGTGAGGCAGGGCGTGCTGTGTTTCAGCAGTGGACAAGGATGTGAAAGACAGGCCACATTCTAGAGGACTGTGCACCATGACATAAAGAGCCCATCCACATGAATCATGACCAGGGAAACGTGTATAGAGCTGAATATTGGTTTTAGTGCATTGGAGATGATGGTGGCAACACTGGAATATCACTGGAAAATTTTTGCCATCATAGCAGATGTGAAACAGTGCAGACTTTTACAAGTATGATGTGCAGGCTCTTGTTCATCTCTGGATAAAAAACACAGCTAAGAGAGGTGACTACATTGCAAGATAGAGAAAATTCTAAGTTACAAAACACTATCAAATAGCGTTATTGTGGTCTTTATATCTGTTGTAGTTGTAGTTTCCCTGGAAATAAATAGGAGACATGACTTTTGGAGCTACCTACATACATGTTTACTGTTCAAGCAACAAACTTGAAATTGTTCCCATTAAATTCATGATAGGTTCTCAGGTGCATGAAGATCAGTGCTTCAGAGATTCTTATACATAGAAACCTAACTGCAAATAAAAAAGAATAATTTGGCTCTCCCTTTTTCTGCATTTCTCATTACGGTTTCATGCATAGGCCTGAAGAATCAGAACTATGCCTCAAGAAAGAGTGGTCTCAGAAGAGAACACAGCCCAATTCAGTATTTAGAGTTTAAGAAGATAACTTTGGGTGGGATGCTATGGGAAGGACTGCAGATCAGTTTTGAGTCTTTTTATACAGTTTCTATTCTATTATTTTAATAATGTTTGTCTTTCTTTTAGCTATACTGATCCATCATTCAATGAAGAATGCAAAGCAGAATATTTGAAGCAAAGAGAAGAATACAGAGCAACTGGGATTAAGAAAAAAAGGCAAAAGATTACTTCAAATGTATAGTTCAAATCAACTGTTAACAGTTTTATATCTAACTTAATAATTTGACTTGATTTAAACAGACTTCTTTTAAATCATCAGTATCTCCTGGTAAAATTTAGCAGCAAGTCAGTAAAAGAAATCTCTCTGAAGCTGAAGATCAACATTTCTCATTTTCTGTACTGAAGTTTATAATGCATGCAGTTTCTCTTGCAAACTTTGACAGCAAAAGCCTGCTCCTCCATCCAGACTTGAGATCTATTACCAATTAACAAACAGCCTTTTGAAATGTAAAGCTTGCATCTAGTTCTACGTGGCAAACTACATAAAAATTTAAGGGTGAATAAATGTAAACTATATTACCAAATCATACATTGGGTATATACTTAAACTGGTCTTTTTGTCACCTGAAGTTGAGAGTATATGGAAATGTTTTTGATGCTTTTGCTAGAAGGGTGGCAAATGCAGAAAAGACCCTGGGCCAATTTTCTTCATCTTTTTCATGAAAATGCTGAGTTGTAAGAGCTCAATATTTATTCTACCTGCTTTGTGACTTAAATTTTGAGTTTGCAATATCAAGAGATGAATGTTCCATGCCCTTGTGAGGCACAACTGACTGCTTCAGCTCTGGAGAAGAACTCAAGAGTTGGCCCATACAGACTTTCCTTGAGAATAGGAAGAGGCACAATGAGGGCAAGAAAAATCACTGAGAGGAATGTCTTCCCCTACTGTCATTTTTTCAGCATGAAGGTGATTAAATACACTTCCATACTTCAGGTGTGACCACACTTGCAAAATGATTATGGATGAACAAACAACTAAACTACGTACTTAAGATGCAGGTCAGTTTTTAAACATCTATTAATGCTGTTGCAAAAACTTAGTGTAAACAAGTCCTTATGGGAAAGGGGTACACAAAGTATTTCTTGCATACAGATACTTAAAGCTGCATAATCATAGAACTCTAAAATGTATGAGTATGGAAAGGCCACATAGGATATCTGTTCACGTGGTAACCTTCATGTCACAATATAAAAAATGAAATAAAAATATCCTTTGCCTAAGTGATAAAATTTGCATTTAATTTTGGTACTATTTCACCACAAAACTATTACTGCTATGAAGTTAATCAAGTGGGAAATTCCAATCAGACTCTGAGATGTATATATATATATATATATATATATATATATGAGCTGAAGTTAACTTTGAAGGTTACTCCTTGCTTTTTAGTCTGTGTATTGTAATGGAATAACCAATAATATTACTTCTGCTATTAGGCAGCATGCTGACTGGAAGATGAGGGGATGCTTCAGAAAGAGAGGCTGGAAGACGTACAGCATTCTAGGTTAGTAGTCAAGTGGTACTCAGCTATTTAATTAGCTAACTTAACTTAGATTTCCTACACACATACTTGGTTTTGTATCATCAGTTAAAGTATTTTGGAAAACAAATACTTAACATCAAGTAATAGAAAATAAGATTTTTTTTTTTTTGCCAGTTGTACTTAAATAGAGGAAAATGAAGGTAGATGATGACTTTTAAAAGTTTATTATTTTTTCAAGACAGCAGTTCTGTTATTTCAGTATGAAAACTTGCTATACTTAGAAGTCTCTGGAAAGAAAGCCTGCATGTTTGTCATTTTTATCAAAGGCTCTTACAGAGATTGGCTGTGGGTAAGCATGCTGTTAGAGGCAGTGTGGTGCACTGACTGTGGTAGGTAGGTGCCAGCCCCAATGGCTCTTGGGAATCTGTCTCCAGCTCACACTACAGCCAGTCAGTCAGATAATAGCACAGCAATGCAGTCGTTCTTTTGTGGGTTAGCAGGACCTACATTCAGCAGGTGGCAATAACCCCAGTGCACTGATTGGTACCAGTGGTATAAATAATATGGATAATGGGACAAAGTCCTATTTAACCTGCGAGTGTCACTCCTCTGCCATTCTGTTACATGCTTTATGTGCAGGGCTGTAACCAATCCCTTTGAGCTGACAGTAAGTAAGCAAGCTCACTTTGCTATCGAGCCTGAAATTGCCATAAATCATTCACTGTACACCATTCACTTCTCTTTACCGACACTTGTTTAAGAACTGAGTACTCACACCTTCTCTCTTGTTTGCTGTGGCATTCAGAACTGGGCTCAGCCCTTATCTTTGGGATCAGCCTACTCTTTTTACACTTATGGCCTTAATTTGATTTTTCCCTAGTTTTGAATTCTTGATTTCACACCTTCCATGCTTTTAGTATCTTAATTGCATTTACATCTTTTAAAGTTGAAATGAAAGTGTAAGTTCTGTGCAGTGACATGCACATACCAGTAAACTGCTTCAGTTTAAAGTTTAAAACTGCTTGTTTTCATCTCAGCAGCAACTTCTCCTTCCTTCTCAGTTTATTCTAATACAGGTAGTAAAGCATCAGTAGTACTGATAAAGCCTTAAGCTATACTTCATCAATTAACTCTAAGTTTTCTTTTAAATACAACTTAAAAAAATAAAAACAAGCAACAAAAACACACTTTACTGTGTCAAAAGCTAGTCAAGAAGGGAGAGAGACAGCCTTGTTATTCTGACTTCAAAACACTAAGCTCATTCAGCTGTCCTGTTCCAACTGAGGGTAGTCAGATGTGGGTGATGAGGGAGTTGCACTATCTCTAACAAGCAGAAGCTTACAGTAGGTTTGAAGCTTACACTGTAACTACTTTTAAGCGGACCCACCAGTTTAAAACCATCCACCATGTGGCACTAAAGACAGTATTCTATCAGTGTCAATAACTATAAGTGTAGGTAAAACATAAATAAATTAAAAACATACACTTGAAACAAGTGTTCTGTCCACTTGCAGTTCAATAACAATAAGTGCTGGTTATTTTTCATGCTTCTCCCCCAGATCAAACTTCATACACAAAACCACCATCAACTACAGCATCCTCTTCCACCTTGCTGTTTTTAACACTCGATCTCTTTGATTTCAAAATGCAATGAAATGAAGCCCGTGCTGCTAAAAGGAGCAAATTGAGGGGCACCAATTTCAGTTCATGCCACAACACTTTCTAAGGACAACAGATTTTTAAGAAAAATATTTCAAATCCTTATCAGACTTGGGAATATGCAGCGCAATTCAAATGAGTTTACAATTAGTGTCAACAATATTAAATACATTTATCTACTGCCTAAAGCTCATACAACTCCAAATAGCATGCTTTTTCCCTGCAAAGAGGGGTAAAGTCTGATTCTTAAAAACAATTATTTTTGTAGCAGTGCTAGACAAAGTTACAGGGAAACACCTCTTCTCCACCACTTTTTTTTCATAGAACCTAGCTGAAGATGAGAAGAAAATGCAGGTGAGTCGGTCAGCTACTGCAGCATCTCAGTCTTCCTTTATTAGGCCACATTGCCATTAAAAATACAGGTGTCTAAGATTTCCAAAGTGTACTGCAAAGAGTTTAAGATTTAATCATATCTGCTTTACATCTCTAGTACAGCTCATACTCTATTATTTGCAATGGCTTTTGTTTTACTGTACCTCCACCACATGTCTACTATAGAGCTTGCCTTATTCCAGCTGTAGAAGTTCAACAGCACATTACAGCTCATTTGAGAATTTGCTTTTCTTTAGTATGGATATTTCATATGGGAAGAAAACCAATCTATCGTAAACACAATAAAACTGGCAGGGATGAGATTTTAAAATTACTTAAGAGGAATCAAGCAAACATGGAAGTTTACATATGCATTATTAGAAGGTTAGTCCAGCTCATTCAAATACATATTCATCAGCTTGCCATATGCTCACATAAACATACAAGGCAACAACCACCACCTGCCCAAAAGCTGTCTTTCATTTCTGGAATCAGTGCTTTCTTAAATTAAAAATTGTCAAACCTGTGGTTTAGGTGAAGTTTCTAAGTGTTCGGTTTTCCTTCAAATGAATTTTTGTCAATTTTTGTGCTTATTTGAAGGTATTGGTCCTTATCTCAATTTTACTGCTTGATGCAACAAATGCACACTTGCACACTAAACACCAGAACCCATTTTCTGCTGCTACTTCTGCATCTGATTTGCTATCACTGTGATGAAAAGCTTTTACTTCTGAAAATGGAAAAAAGTACCTTAAGCCACCAGTGACTTGGATTAAACAACAATCGAATTGTGACTCAATCAAGATGGGAAAGTTTCAGACCAACAGCTTCAGACCAACAGGTGCTTCTCAAGTAAGCTAGCTCCCAGATGACTTCAGATCTGGCACTTGCTTTCAAATATTCACCACAGCAATGAGTGACTGCATTGGAAATACAGCCTAAAGTAAGCTCTGTAATCTCACCCTCCTCTCTCAGATGTCAGCACTTCTCAAGTTCCTCTCAGCAAACATCCCTTTCTTTACTGGCCCCTTCTCCAGCATGAGAAGCCACACTGGTAAACCAAGAGCTGGAAGTAAAGCCTGGTAATTCTTTCACATCACCCAGAAAAGCTTCATTTTTAAGTTTCGCTGTCACAGGCTGCTGGGGCACCTTTTGACACAGCAGTGGAACCCCGATAATGTATTGCAACTGGAAGTAATTAACTCCTTCAGATTTCAGCATCAAAGGGAACACATCTCCCACAACACACCAAAGCACTCAGTGGGCTGTATTAGTCCTGAATGGAAGAGAATTAATCTCAAATTAATTCCTTCCATACATTTGGAATGGCCTTTATATAAAATCAAGTGTTTAAAGCCAAATAAAAATTTTTTACTCTGAACACTAGAAGAGATTTGTAAGTTAAATCAATTTCAATCAAAAATAAATTTAATTCAAAACCTTACACAGAATTCCTTCATTGCAGAAATCAAAAAGTGCTCATGATGGTTGCAGAATAATACACCTCTTAAAATAAAAAAATCTCCATGAAGACAGGCTGGGGGAACCCCAAAAAGCAAGCTACATTGGAACTAGACACTGCGTACTTTATGCAGCCACATGAGAAATGCTTCCTGCTGCATTGTTATTACACAGGTAGTTGGTTCTGTCTGCTAAAGCCGAGTGACTTGGGTTTGTTTTATGCATATTGGCTTTTGTTCTATTACTTTCCAAGAGATTGTACTCCCCTGAGTCAGATGTGTTCATTGGTCAGAATAAATTCCAGCATCTGACACCATTTCCATTAATCACAGACAAGCCACTATACGTGAGCAAGATAATAGAAAGATAAAAAAAACAGTATCTGGTGAATGGGAAACATTATTTATGTATGCTGTTCACTAATACAGTAGAAGATATCTGAAAGGCATTCTTTCAACTTTAATAGACAAACTGAAACAGGAGAAGATGGGCATCATGTGAAGCATTTATTCCACAGGGAAGAAAGTGACTGCAGTGACTGGAACTACACAGATCCTGTAGCAATTGCCTAAGTAACACCTTTACAGCCTGTCATTACAATGGTTATGCCATAGTCATAGCTTCCCCATGCTTTTTCAGGCAATTTTAAGTAATTTGCTACTAAACAGCTGTGGAATTATTATTTTTTCCAATCATAGTGATCTTAAGTAGGACCTGTGAAGTTGAATACTTAAATCCCCACACAGATCTGTAAATAACATCTTTAGTACCACCTTCCCACTCATTACAGGTTAAAAGCTTCACGGATCTAAAATACAAAGCATTTTCCTGCACAGTATTGAGTGGTCAAATCATTTACTAAACCTTGTTGTACTAAACTCAGATAAAGAAGCAAAAGTTTCTAAAAAACAAGGCATACATAGTATTTGTCCAAAAACAGTTCTTGGCCTTAAGATGAAACCCGCAAGAAAGTACTAGGACACACAGTCTACAAAGCAGCAGTCATGATCTAGTATCTTCAGTTCTCAATGGAGTACTAAGGATACCAAAGCAATTATCCTATCAACATCTAGTCCAATTAAATTAAGGCTTTATTTCTTTAATATAAGGAAAATTAGTAGCTTTAACAACCACACAAATAAAAAGTCAAGGTTCTGGTGGTGTGCAAAGGAGGCACGGTAAGGATAACTGCCCCGCAAATAGGATGATTCTGTGGCAGGTAGCACTGCGTGCACAGCTCAGGCAGTTTCCCAC